TGTCAATCATTTGCTCACAAAAATAAGTTTTTCTATCAAAATCGTTTTCCATGAGTTCTTGAGTGGGTATTATTTTATAGGGATGCATTTTATTTTCTTTTAATATGTTTACTATCGATATATGGCTAACATTGAATGTAGTGGATGCCTGTATACTGTGGGTATTCCTCAAACTCAAGAATCACATCTGATTTGAGTTCATGACTCATTGCATTGGCGGCTGCTTTTTTTATCTGCCCCACATGACCCAGCTTGCGAAACTGCTTCTCTATTTTGCTTATTGTTCTTTGAGATATGAGTGGTAAATAAGGAAATTTCTCATAAAATAGGCGAGCTACTTCCTGTTGTGTTCGGGTTTTATCTTCGTAGCCAATAATTTGTAAAACTGTTATTTTATGCATTTCCGTTAATCTAACCTTTAAACTCGAATTAAAATACTGAAAACTGATGTTTCAACATACAAAACAAGTTGTCAAGGCATTTCAAACTAACGTTGCCACGGAAATTACTCACAGTTTTTCAAAGGATACCATCTGAAAAGAACATTGCTATGGTTTTTGCTTACTTTCTTATTATCAATACCTCAATATGAAATAAGTTTTGAGTATATTGCAATATGTTTTGAGTATATTTTGTCGAATTTCGGTAACCACATGAATTTAATTGATTTCATTTTGATTATTACAAGAAACTTGAAAGCGATAACATTTTTGAATAGAGAATGAAGATACCTTTCAAACGATATATCACAAGCCTATACTTCCTTTTTAAAAAATTGGGGGTTATACCTATCATTCGACGGGGGTTGAAGGTAGGATGAGCATTTTTCGTTGAAGTATGTCAAATTGTAATATAAATTTGACATGTTTTGGGATTTTGTTAAAATATGTGTCGTACCCGAAATAATCAATTTATTCCATTTGACTTCTACAAACTATATAAATATTTCTACTTCTATTATGTATTGCTCTATGTCTATGTAGAATAATCGAAAAAAGGTGTGACTGCAAGCCCTAATGTAAGAATCTATATTCACTATGAGATATGGTAACTTAATTATAGTGCAAGTAATATGTACTTCTCTGGACAATTCTTTTCATGAATATGTTTTTGGTGGGATATCTTATTATGATTCATTAATGTTTTACCATTTCATCTCTCGACACCGTTACTCTAATTTCAGCAAAGAACGTTGGTGTATACGAGTACATATCACAAAACAAAGTCTATTCGCCGATATAGCCTTTCTGTCTGAATACGATTAACCCTTGAACTACCGAACAGAATTTCATACGGAAATGCCAATGGACGAAGTGTTTCGTAAGGAAAATTTATGTGCATGATCCTTTAATATTCCGTAAACTGGTTGGTTATATCCAGGCGAAGTTGGTGCTTCCCATGCAAAGCCGGGGAGCTCATTGCAAACGGGGCATAATGAAACAATTCACTACATATTGTTTCAATAAATTGATGGATATAGCCGTGTTACTACGGTTACATCCCTTTATTGTATTAGTTTGAAAATGTCCTCATAGGACGAAACTGCTGTAAGGGCAGTTACAAATACAAGTGGTGAAAAATAAAAAAAAATCTAATTTTACATACATATTGGTTTTTTACGTTTACAAAACCGCCTGCGATAACTTATGTGTATCTTTCATGGGCAGCTTATTATTCCTAAATACATGATGGCCTGATGGGCTAAAGTTTGCAATTGCAAAGTTCGGTTTCACTTAGTAATATATTTTGAAGATTGAGGTCGCATTGAAATATCACAACTGATATGGAGATTCAATAAAGCAAAGTATTCTGAGGAAGAAAGGTTTTGGCTTTCTGCTTCTCTCCATCTTTATACAAAACAAATTGGGAATATTCCAAAAGAAGAAAGGAAACAATCAATTTCAAAAAAATAACTCCATACAAAGATGTGTAGATAATGCAGAGAAGTACTTATCAGACACAACATTCGTTATGGAAAGGAATGAGATATCATTCACAGGATTTCTACATAATATAGTAAATGAAAAAGGTGAAATTTCACTTACATAAAAAACTGCCATCTGGACATTCGATACTGGACATTCGATATCAGACGGTTCGACATAACATTATGACATGAAGCACTTCATTCACAAGAATACGACTTCATGTCACGAATGAGTTTGATCTAACCATGTCATCGATGAAGGTACATAAAGACATTCATTTGCTTATTCGGTAGAATCCCAGTCATAGCAATCTTGTTTAAATTGAAAGGGGTATTCTTTCAGGAGAGATTCATTCTTGGAAAGAAAAGTTCTGTGAAATATTCAATTCAAAAAACTGAACTATACACAAAGATGTGTAGATTATGCAAAGAAGTAACTTTCAGACACAAACTGAAAACTCTGTTCCAAAAATATACCCCATTCAATTCAAACAAAATGTTCCGATTTCAAAGTATCAAACCCAACAAAATAGTCTAACTGATGCAGTGAAAAAACTAGGGAGTTGGTTCCTCATTTGATCAACACATTTTTTTCTGTGAGATAGGACTGTTCGTAGAAAAACACTGGTCTGAGTTTTATTTTCATTCAATCAGATCAGTATGAAATCAAAACTTCGCTCTCTTCTGGAAAGCTAATGATAGAGTTTACATTTCGTCAAAATATTTTTGGTGAACATAACAAGATGGTTTCTTCGACGAATTCATTTCAAGACAACCATGATGTGGTTATTTTTCCTACTACTACTTATTTCAAATAATTACTGTAATCATTATTTTATTATGTTATTATATTTGCTTCCCATTTTTTAAGACTGTGCGAAAATGCGACTCACTATTTTTTAGCCATTTTCAAACTCTGAAATATAGAAAAATGACACAACGATAAGGATAACTTATTTAGAATTACCTCTTGTAAAATGGATATTGCGTTTGTTTTGTACGGCTTCTGTGAGGGATTTGGACGCCATACTCTTGAAATAGTTACTTTCATTCAAATACATTTCTTTTTTCAATTTAATTATTCTAATAAGTGATGGTGAAAAGCCTCCTAGTACACAAACGAAATCAAATAACACTTTCTTGTCATTCATTTCAAATCCGGAAAATTCGAAATTGAACGAAGGAATTTTCATCGAGGGTCGATTATAGCCCACAAATGAAAATACCTTTTCACGAATTGAAAATATTAGTTCTATAATGCAATTAGGTTAACTGAAGTTGTTGAATAAACTTTTGAACTTTGGCTTTTTGCGTCGCCTCTATAAAAGAAAGATAATCATTTTTGATGAAGTTGTGTAATTACTCATTTCTTAAAGATTTTCTTTTCGTTTTCTAGTTACAAATACTTATTCAATATTGATTGCTAGTTGGATCCTTTCCCGATCAATATGTGAATATATTTATTGAAATGCAGTAAATAGTTAGGATGACACTGTGACATCAATTGATATTATTTATAATTTATTATTTATTTATTACATAAACAATATACTACTAGTATTATTGTGAAAAAAGCGACGGGCGCTTGATACACAAAAAATATGGCAAAAGGAGTCCAGGCTTTTTCACAATAATACTAGTATTTTTCGTTCGTTATTGTTTTAAGCTTATTTAAAAAAATATTTTCAACTTTTTAGTTCGATGTTCTTAAAAACCGTGTTTTTTAGTATTTTGAAACTATATTTATTTTTTACTTTTTAGTTCCATATGTTATAAAAGCGTGTTTTTTAGTTTTTCAAACTATATTTATTTTTCACTTTTTAGTCCGATTCATTTTCGAAATTTTTTTTTTTTGACTTCTAGTCACTAATATTATGAATCTTCAACAGACGGCGCACGAATGTAAAATTCCTCTCAAACAACTTAATAAAGTTTGAGGTCTCAAACTCTATAGTAAAATTGAGATGCACTAAGTCTCCAACAGATGGCGGACAGTTGTAAAATTTGTTTCGAAGTAAAGAGAAAATTTGCAGTAATGATTTCAAAAAGCAATTCAGTCTTGATGCTTTGATTTGAGATTTCATTCAAAATATTAATGGACTGAAAACATTTTTTCAGTGAATAATTTTATTTTTCAAATCAGTATGTCATATCTATGTCAAGCACCTTAATTCTAATTTTTCGATTTTTTAAAATATTTGAATACTCAATTTTTAGGTGTACAATTTACGATAAAGTTTTCATTGTTGAAATCCATATTCTGGTTTGCTTTCAAATAATAGAATTGGATTTTTGAAATGTATCTCCCGTTTCGTTCAAAACTTTCGTCTGTACTAAATCACGGATAATTGAAATTATTTAAATATCAAAATATTTCATCTGTAGTACAAAATTTCGCTTACATTTATAATTCTTAAAATATGTTTTTCATTTTAATTTCATTCTGAACAACTTTTCAAGGAGGTTACATACAGCTCTATCTGCCCGCGAATAGATCAGGAAATATCAAAGACATTTCGTACAGCGCCGTCTGTCCGCGAATAGATCAAGCAATAGATTATACTTAAGTGCAACGCCATCTGCCCACGAATAGATCAAGAAATATCAAGGAGCCACGCACAGCGCCATCTGCCGCGAATAGATCAAGCAATAATGCAGATAATAGGTCACATGCATGTAATATCAAATAGTTCATTTTAATTTTTTTCTCAATCTATTTTGATACCAGATCAATGTAAATGGGTCCACATGACTATATACTTCATAAATTTTAAATAGTTCATAATTGAAAACGTAAAAATTACGAGACAGATTCAAATTAGGTAAAACGCAACAGGATTGGTAGGATCTTAGAATGACGTCAAAGTCCATGTCAACAACATTTATTTACATGCTGTTTTGTACAATTCTATCATTGTTTGTCCGTCTGATTAAAGTTTTGCAAGCAGTTATTTGGCTATTAAAAGTTTATCATTACTGTGAACGTCCCAGAAAATAAATACAATGACTGAAGCCGGATTTGTCATGGCCCAATCTGACAATTTGTCGAGAATAGATGTCTTCATGATGACAAGTTTTTTCGCAAGTCATCCCGATTTCACTTCAGCTGAGATTAGAGGCGTCAAAGCTGCAAGGTACTTGAATAATTATTGTGTATAAGTGTCTTTAATTTCAGCTTTTCGTTCAGTTCTCTAGTTATTTGCTTACTAACATTGAGAAAGTGTACATAACCTCAAATAATATAGTGAAAAATTTGTTTGAGGAAATGTTTACAATCACTTCTTATTCTAACCTGATAATATTTGTGGTTTTAGGTCCGAAAGATATTCTTATGGCGATTCAGCTATTGGATATGTTCAAGTAAATAGGGAAGCAAACATATGTGTAGTGAAAGATCGTATTACTCCCGAACATAATGTGAAACAGAAGTGTTACTCTGTAGCAGCAGTATGTGATGAAGCTGAACAGAGAATTGTCTCTGCAGAATGTGAAGATTGCGCAGCACATTCAGGTACATATAATTGATTGGTAAAGTATTATTTAGAGGGCACGAATAAGTATTAACACAAGCAATTTACACATTTTGTTTCATAAAAATAAGAGTCTGATTTCAAAATGTGATCATGTTTTATCCAGAAAATATAATTATTATATATATTTTTGATTTTCAGGTGGATGTAAGCATGCAATAGCTTTTATAGCTTGGCTGCACAGGTGTAGCGAAGACCCTCCCTCTACTAGTATCGACTGTTACTGGAAGAAGTCCAAATTATCCACGATAGGCACAACCCTAAAGTATATAAGAGCTGAAGAGTTATGTAGTAGTTCAAAGGCCAAACCTGCTCCATCTGCCAATACTCGAAGCCTTCTGCCAACTCTAATAAACCATAGCAAAAGCATCGGTCACATGGAAAGTCAACTCATGAAATACTATAAGGAAAAAAGCAGATTAGAAAAATTATCCATTCATCATTTAGTAAATACACTACGAAATAAACCAGCTAACGCCACAGAGTTCATCAACTATTGCAGGAGTATGATGGACACATCATCTTGCAATGAAGCTAATCTAGCTACAATTGATCAGAATGACTGTCCGCTGTAAAATGAGCTACGGTATGCTAGGATTACTGCTTCGAAGATGCATGAAGCAGCACACTGCAAAGTTTTCGAAGGCACTTTATGTGAAAGTATAATGGGAGCAATTGAATTAAAGGACACAGAGGCGATGAAATGAGGGCGTTTGCTAGAGAAAAAAGTATTGAAAGAAGTCGAAGAAAAAATGAAACTAAAAATTAATGGGTGTGGTTTGATCTTAAACCCTAATTATCCCGTATTTGGTGCATCTCCTGATGGTGAGAGTATTGATTACAGTATTGAACTCAAATGCCCACCATCTGAGTAAGCCATGAGTAGATATGTTTCAAAAGATGTTATATCCTCAAAATATATGGCTCAGGTCCAAATGCATATGTATTTTTCAAATAAAAAAAGGGCTTTTCTGTGTTGCACATCATGATTTTGAAATATCAAAGTAAGTAGTCATTTATATTGTAAATTGTGATGAGATCTATTGTGCAAATATTTTGGAAAAAAGCATGCTCTTCTGGAGCAATGCTATTTTTTCCTATTATATGTGAAAATATCAAATAAATCATAGTATGAGGAGCAAGTTGAAATTTTAGTTGTCAGTAAGCCAAGTTACTTGTTACCTATATTCATTCTATTTGGAGTTTGTACATTGGTACAGAAGGTACTTTCTGAGTGTGCCACACCAATATGAATAAAAATGAAACACTTGAAAATGTTATTTATTTTTTCATTAAAACGTTTTGCATATTGATTATGCCACATGCTATTACTATTACTTCATCTACTATTGGAACTAAGCTGTGATGTACACATGCATGAGGCAACAACATATGAAATTCTGTCAACCTGTTTATTACAAGCTCTACATGAAGTCTTAATGCCGCTATTCTTTTGGACTGCTTCACCTCATGTTTTGTACTTGCTGTAGACTTGAACACTGAAGGAGGCTGAATAAGGGTACATTTTTTATTTTCTATCAAATGAGACAAGTCTTTGAAGCCTCTGTCTGCCATAACAGCTGTGTTTGGAGGTAAACATTCTAGATAGCCACAATTTTCTACTATAATGATGTCAGAAGCCCTTCCACCATATCCTTCTGAAATAAAATTGACTAACCCATCTGGAGTACAAAAAATAAGGTATTTCAGAGTATTACATTTCTTATATTGTGATCTTGACAGAGACTGGTGGATTGCATTGCATGGTTTTTCAATTTCTATTTCTAAGCAATCTATAATTGAAACAACTTTAGAATACCGTGCTCTAAAAGCGATAGGTAAATTTTTAACTATGTCAGATGGTTTAGGCCACACAATTAACTCTCCCATTTTTTCTGCTAGAACAATCACTGTTTTCGAAGATATTCTATTTATAGTGCCCTGTGTATAGCCAAATTCTATATCTAATATGTCAAATGATTCATTTAACTTTATTTCCTTCAAGGTTATTAAAATGTCAATAGTGGGAACTGGAATATTATGACTTGATAGTTTTATCAAATGGTAACTGTCTTTAGGCAGTCCTAACATCATTTTAGGCTCTTTTTCCACAGCGGTCAATGTTGCACAACGCATTACATTTTGAAGTTGTTAGTCCTTGTTATCTTGAGACCAACTCGCTTCGGAAGAAGTAGTTTCTTGTTCATACAGAGATTGATGAAGATTGCGATGTAATAGATAAATCGTCGGTTGGTTTTGTATCTGGGAATAACTTCCTTTTCATACCGGCAATCTGGGCGGTTTTAATAGGTGAAGTTGATGTGTTTTTAACTGGTACTAGAAACGGTGATAATGCTACATTTTTTGTCTTAGGACCAACAGTGACACCTTTGCTTCTATATTTCATTGTGGTTGGCTTCATTGTGTTAACTTGAACGGCTTTGTCACAAGCAAGACTTTTATTTTCTATTGAGAAAACGTCGTGTGAAGATGAACTAGGACCAGCTTCACAATAATTTACTTCTCTGGTGACTGTTTCATCTGCTGTATCCACAGGGCCTACACATATATTAGTTTCTTCCATAACTTCTCTGGGAGCAGCTTCTGATAAAGCAACCTAAGCCTTTGTCTTTTGAGAGCAGACTCTCTCACAGGTTTTGGCCTATTCACTTTCTGACACTGAAATTTGTGGGGCACAATACCTTTACGTAGACGTAATGTAACAGGTACCCCTTGTTGTTTATTCATTATTTGGTACTGAATGAAGTTCACTGTATCCTTTTCTACCTGAAAATGAAGAATAACAGCAGTCAGAAAGGTTTTATATTCGAGAAGTAAATATGTTTATTAGTGTTTTAGACTATGACACTAAATATAAATATACCTATGTAAATATAAAAATACTTACATCAAAGTGATCCTCACAACAGTATAAGCAGCTCGTTGTAGACAGTTTCGAGTTCTTAAATTCGTCCCTTTTTATAGCTTTACACCACTTTAATCGAATGTTTGCATTCCTGGCACAAGAAAAAATACTTTTTGAGGAGCAGATTCCGTTGTATTGATGCCCTTTGTAACTATGCAGTACTTATAAACTGATTTTCCACTACTTTCCATCTTTAATTTATTGAAATTACCAAGTAATACAATATAGAATCAACTATGTTTACTTCTCTGTGCTTTGGATCGCTTTGTTGACATGTACATTGACGTCACATATTCCCGCTAAATGGTCGACCGTTTGAATTGTCAATATTTGGTATACAATTTTATAATTTTTTTCCTGACTAATTATTCATGTTTTTGGCATCTATTTCATATTTCCAGTATTTGTATGCATTATATAATCGATTAGAACAATTGGAAAAAAATATGCATGTGACCTATTGTGTCGATACAGATTCCGAGCTTGAGAGTTACAAGCAAACAATCATATATACAAACAAACATACATACATACAGGTGAAGCTAATATAAAGCGTTTAAAAAACGAAGACCTTCTCTCACGTCTGCTTGTCTGAACGCGATGAATTCAAAAATTTACAAACAAAATTTTCAATACAGTTTTCACCAATGAACGGAGGCTGTCGCCTGTCTTTCAAAGATTGCTCACTTTCATTCAAGACAAAACACTAGCACTACAGAAAAATCCTTAAGGCGCTATGCATGTGCGAAAGTAGCGATTCACATTGGATTTGAACCACTGGAGATTGAATCCATCCGGAAAAACCTTCTCGAGAAGTTTATTTCACATAAACGCAGTTCTCCAAATGATATCAGTGAAGTTCGAGGTGTATGAGTTGAACCTCAAAGCGATGAGCAGCCACAGTCCATCGCGTATTTCTGAAGGCACCGCTCATGGTGGAATCGAACACCTCACGTGCATGTATCTATAACAAAGTTACAAATTTCCAACATTTCTTCGGTGTTTCAGATTATTAAGGTTGCAAGTGATGTTCGTGTCTCCAGTCAGGCAGATGGATCTTTTCCGGGTGGAATCCAGGAGCTTCAGGGTATGCTTTGGGGCGGAGCTCCATACATGAGAACAATACTCCAAAAAAAGTCTGATGTGAGTTTTATAAAGCATCGAAAGTTTCTGAGGTGTGTACAGTTTTCTGGTTCGGAACAGTGTTCCAAACGTTTGAGAAGCGTCAACATTTTGATGAAACATATTGGTATCCATTTTAACCCCCAACAAACTTATCGAAGCAGAAAGTGGAATTGTCTGACCTGGCATGATTATATCCGAATCAGAGACATTTACCTTTTTTGGAGAAAACCGATGCCTAGGTTTTGGTGGCATTAAACCAAATATGATAATTACAAGCTGCAAATAGGTATTAACTCTGCAGACAGCAAGAAACTTTGGGGCGTAGTGAAACAATTAACTGGGTCAGAAAAAAAGAAACACAAAATTGAATAATTGAAAAATGATGCAGACGAAATAATAATAGATAAACATGACATTTCAAATGAATTTAATTCTAAATTTGCTAAGATAGGTAAGACGCTCGCTGACAAAATTACTCGTAATCCAAAGTATAAATCTGTTTAAAAATCTGTTTAAAATCTGTTTTTCCGTTAATCAGCTGCCGCCCCCATACGAACGACAACTCTCAGAAGTTGAGAAACTTGTGCGAGCTAAGGACTAACGAGGTCTTACCTTTTAACGTGTGATAAATTGAATCGTACATCAATTCCCAACTCTATGATCCTATCTCCAACGAATGAAAGAGAATTAACATACCTCATAAAAGAATTGAAAAATAAAAAATCTGTCGGATTAGATAATATCAAATCAGAAACACTCAAAGCAATAGTTCCCAAATAGTCGAACCACTCGCGTACATTCTTGTATCGAAATTGGTCTATGGCCAACCGCCTTCAAAAACTCTGTTGTCATACCTATACACAAAAAAGGCGATAAATCTAAGGTCGACAACTATAGACCTATATCATTGATAACTCACCTGACCAAACTTTTCGAAAAGTTATTGAGAAACAGATTGATATCCTATCTTGAAAAATACCGTATTATCTCGGATCACCAATTTGGCTTCTAGAAGAATACATCCACAGAAGACGCAACTCATGAACTAACCAAAAAAATCAACAGTGCTGTTAGTGAAAATAAAGCATGCTTATGCCTATTTATAGATCTGTCGAAAGATTTCGACACTGTAAGCCATCCCTTACTCTTGAAGACATTGGCGTCCGAGGAAATTCACTGAAATTATTCGAAAGTTACCTCTTAAGGAGAAAGCAAGTAGTAAGAATTGATAACATACTGAGTATCGAAGAAAATACCGAGTATGGTGTACCACAAGGAACCGTTCTAGGTCCTATTCTTTTTAGCCTATATATAAATGGTTTATTTGCGCTAGAGAGTGGTGGGGATATTATAGGATTTGC